TCACAAAGGCGTTTGACTAAGTCAATAGAGAAGGTCTGTAGAAGATCATGGCAAAATATGGCTGCCCAAGGAAATTTGTCATGATTATCCAGCAACAGCATGATGGAATGGTGGCCATAATCCAGGAAAATTGAGAATTTTCTGAACTTTTCCATGTTACAAATGGTGTCAAACAAGAATGTGTACTCGCACCAACTCTATCCAGTATCATGTTACAAATGGTGTCAAACAAGAATGTGTACTCGCACCAACTCTATCCAGTATCATGTTACAAATGGTGTCAAACAAGAATGTGTACTCGCACCAACTCTATCCAGTATCATGTTACAAATGGTGTCAAACAAGAATGTGTACTCGCACCAACTCTATTCCAGTATCATGTTACAAATGGTGTCAAACAAGAATGTGTACTCGCACCAACTCTATCCAGTATCATGTTACAAATGGTGTCAAACAAGAATGTGTACTCGCACCAACTCTATCCAGTATCATGTTACAAATGGTGTCAAACAAGAATGTGTACTCGCACCAACTCTATCCAGTATCATGTTACAAATGGTGTCAAACAAGAATGTGTACTCGCACCAACTCTATCCAGTATCATGTTACAAATGGTGTCAAACAAGAATGTGTACTCGCACCAACTCTATCCAGTATCATGTTACAAATGGTGTCAAACAAGAATGTGCACTCGCACCAACTCTATCCAGTATCATGTTACAAATGGTGTCAAACAAGAATGTGTACTCGCACCAACTCTATCCAGTATCATGTTCTCAGCTGTACTGTTTGACGCTTTTCGAGATCGAGATAAAGGAATTGATATTTGCCGTCGATGGAAAACTTTTCAATCTTAGGCCGCTCAAAGCGAAAACCAAAGTTAAATCATGTATTATTAGGGATCTTCTGTTTGCTAACGACTGTGCTCTTAATGCCGGTTCAGAGGTGAATATGCAGTATAACATGACAGATTCTTCGAGGCCTGTACCAAGTTTGGGCTTACCATTAAAACTAAGAATACTGAAATTGTGTACCAACCAGCATCAGGCAAAGTGTATAATGAACAAACCATTTTGGTAAATGGCAAGAAATGAAAGGCTGTGGATAGATTCACATACCTCGGTAGTACATTGTCTCAGAATGGCACCATCGACAATGAGGTGAGCACCATATCTCTAAAGCCAGCTGCACATTTGGCAGGTTACACACAAATGTCTGGCATCGTAGTGGCATCATTTAGCAAACCAAGTTGAAGTTATACAGAGCTGCACTGCTTCCAGTGCTACTGTACGCCTGTGAAACTTGGACTTTATACATACGTCAGGCAAAAAGGAAAAAAAAAAATTAAAAAAAAATCGACTTCCATACAGTCTATCTAAGAAAGATACCATTAAGCGGCTAGAAATGATTCCCAGACATTTTCGTTCTGAACAGGGCTGGCATTCCCAGTATCAATACCATCCTGATGCAATCACAGATTCGATGAGCTGGTCATATTGTTCGAATGCCTGACCATCGGCTCCCAAAAATAATCTTCTATGGTGAAATACGTGAAGGTCGACGTTCTCATGGCAGCCAGAAAAAGCGCTTCAATGACACACTAAAGGCATCACTGAAAGCCTTTAGTATAAACCCTAACACATGGGAGGCTGCAGCACAAGACCGTACTTTTTATGGCGCACACAGATCCGATATGGTGCAATGATCTGCGAGGCATCTAGAACAAGGGCAGCTGAACGGCGAAGACAGGTCAGCAAGAACCATCAAACAGGCCCATTGTTTACAGACACTCTGCCCTGCTCTAATTGCCCTAGACTCTTCCGGGCACGTATTGGACTTTTAAGTCACCTCCGGACTCACAAATATTCAGCTGCAGTTTCATGGCGGATAAAAGGAAGAGTGGTCCTCATCACCTGTGACTTTCGAACGAACGAGGGACTAGTACTGCTCACTGTCTTCAATTCATTTTTGACAAAGTAAATTATTAATATTCTTTATCAACATCATCAATTTGCACTTCTGTCGTTGAGCGACGTGGAGAGGAACAGTTGGTGATGCATTGCTTGATGGGCAGCAGTGGCTATTGTTATTCCGTGTCGATGAAGAAGCACTTATATACATTAGTATATTCCAAACATTCCTTCCAGACTGCTGTTCATCCACCATTGATATGTTATAGTATACTCTCTTGTTGACTGATGTTTGCCCACCCTTGATATTTTATACTGTATTCTCTCCCAGACTGCTGTTCGTCCACCCTTGATATTTTACTCTCTTCCAGACTGCTGTTCGTCCACCCTTAATATTTTAAAGTATACTCCCTTGCTGACTGCTGTTCGTCCACCCTTGATATTTTACTCTCTTCCAGACTGCTGTTCGTCCACCCTTAATATTTTAAAGTATACTCCCTTGCTGACTGCTGTTCGTCCACCCTTGATATTTTAAAGTATACTCTCTTCCAGACTGCTGTTCGTCCACCCTTGATATTTTATACTATACTCTCTTCCAGACTGCTGTTCGCCTACCCTTGATATTTTATAGTATACTCTCTTCCAGACTGCTGTTCGCCCAACCTTGATATTTTAGAGTATACTCTCTTCCAGACTGCTGTTTGTCCACCCTTGATATTTTATACTATGCTCTCTTCCAGACTGCTGTTCGTCCACCATTGATATTTTATACTATACTCTCTTCCAGACTGCTGTTTGTCCACCTATTGATATTTTATACTATACTCTCTGCCAGACTGCCATTCGTCCACCATTGATATTTTATAGCCGTAGTCTCTTCCAGACTGCTATTCGTCCACCATTGATATTTTATAGTATACTCTCTTCCAGACTGCCATTCGTCCACCATTGATATTTTATAGCCGTAGTCTCTTCCAGACCGCTATTCGCCCACCCTTGATATTTTATAGTATACTTTCTTCCAGACTGCTGTTCGCCCACCCTTGATATTTTAAAGTATACTCTCTTCAAGACTGCTGTTCGTCCACCATTGATATTTTATAGTATACTCTCTTCAAGACTGCTGTTCGTCCACCATTGATATTTTATAGTATACTCTCTTCCAGACTGCTGTTCGCCCACCCTTGATATTTTAAAGTATACTCTCTTCCAGACTGCTGTTTGTCCACCATTGATATTTTATAGCCGTAGTCGCTTACAGACGTCTGTTCTTCCACCCTTCATATTTTATAGTATACTCTCTTGCAGACTGCTGTTTGTCCACCGTTGATATTTTAAAGTATACTCTCTTCCAGACTGCTGTTCGTCCACCCTTGATATTTTATAGTATGCTCTCTTCCAGACTGCTGTTTGTCCACCCTTGATATTTTAAAATATACTCTCTTCCAGACTGCTGTTCGTCCACCCTTGATATTTTACTCTCTTCCAGACTGCTGTTCGTCCACCCTTGATATTTTAAAGTATACTCTCTTCCAGACTGCTGTTCGTGCACCCTAGATATTTTATAGTATATTCTCTTCCAGACTGCTGTTCGTCCACGCTTGTTATTTTATAGTTAAGTTTAAAAAAAAAAAGATGTAAAGCACTTTTAAACGACTTCAGTCGTATTGGACATAGAGGGCTAGACCTATATCTTATACACTATTCGGCACTTGGTGGGTGTTGTGGCCAGCACCACATGACTCCACCTGATACCCGTTCAAGGCTGGGTCGACCGTTTGTTTAAGACGTCAATTACCGTGAGGACCCGAACCCTAAACGTTCCGACCAGCAGGTGAGCAGCTAACCGTTACACCACGGCGACTGCCCTGGATAATTTTTTTTCCCCAGTTTATCCCTGTCTACCCTTGCTCGTCTGCCTTTAACTTTCCCCTGCAGTATAGATTTTGAAAGTGTTGTGTGTCTGAATATGGATTTGAATATCCGTCTTAGGTGGATAATGAATGTCTTGACAAACAGCTGATGGCAGCACAGCGTAGAGTGGCCTCCCTGTCGGCCCAGTTCTGTTTCTTCCGTAGCACCCCCACATTTCTTTCACTCCATTTTTTTAAATGATTTTTTTTTTAGTATCACACACACGATTACTGATCCTTAATCAAATTAAAATATATGGTATTTATGTCATACTAATTATAGTTTTATCATATGACAGAATGTCAGTACATTTCGTATCGAATAAAAAAAAAAAACGTTTAGTTTTAGCGTCAAAAAAAAAAATAAAAAAATTACCATCTGTTCACAATAAGTCAAACGTATCATTAAATATTTGCAATCGCTCATCTTACATACTCGGAAATATAATAAATAAATTATGCAGGGAAGAGACGGACAAATGAATTGGAAGTCTCTGTTAAAGTCATGGGAAGATGTTATCACTATGAAAAATACAATACGTCAATAGAAGTATGAACAGCGGGCATGTATGGATGGCCACCCTTGAATATGGCGATTTCTTCTCGATGACCGCAGGTATCGATCTCATTCAACGTTCCTGATGCCAAATAAGGGTGCAATTAATTTGGGAAAAGGCCATAAAATGAAGAAATAATTTGTCGTCAAGCGAGAATCTACCTTTGCTGCCACGGAACGGGTTACTGGGCCATTCCGGGGTCAACTGCACTATAAGTTCAGAGGTCAGGCTCAAATGCTGATGAAAAAACGGCATATTGATCAAAACCTCTATTTGCTTTTTCAGAAAGTTGAATAATCCCTCCAGCACATTGTATTCGGTGACTTCGGGACCAGCGAGAATGGGAAAAGCTGTTTGTTTTGTGAAAAAATAAACTTAGCAGTGGGTAATGGGCTTGTCACGTGACCTCTGCGATGGGAACAACATTCAAGATGATAAACAGCCCGTCTCTGCTGCTGCCAGCACCACGGAGATTTGCCTCTTTCACTGACAACCTACCTGTTATGGCTGGCTCTTAGTCCACCGATTCCATGCTCTTGCTGTCTGGCCTGTGAGGCGATGTTCGTGAGGATGAGATCAGAGATAAAGATCATCCTGTTTTATGTGAGAGTTGATCAGCAATGAAGCCCAAAAAAGGTAAAACTGGAGATGTTTAGGCTGGCCACGTACTTGTATTTTGTTAGGAATTTTGATGAGGCAGTCAAGCTTTAGACAGCTCGGGAACAACTGTTAGAAATGTTATATTTCTCAGTCCATCAAAATAACAGTTACGTAAATTAGTCATACCTCAAATCAGGATTTCACAGTACATATGGTCATATATGATTATGATATGTTTAAAAAACATACGTACACTGCTAATAGCTGCAATGACTAACCAGAACTGTATTCAGATATCAAATAATACGCTTTCCTGTTGTTTTGTTTTAAATATCGACATTCTTATCATTGTCGGTAATTTGCAAATTAGCCCGATCCTATTTAGTTTACCTGCAATTTTTTTTTCTTTAGTGAAAGTTACAACTTCTAAATCTAACTTCCTCTGATTGTGGCTTCAGTTGTGCACAATTAACACATAACCTTCATACTTCATTTATTGATTGTTAAATTTCTTTGTGTATTATACAGATTTAATTGAATTACTAATATGTAAGGCATGGGGTTGATAAGCTTTAGAGGTATTTCATCATCATTATCAGGTGCCTTGCCGACTGGCGTGGGCAATCATGCCTCTCCATAATCCGCGATCTCCTGCAGAATGTATCAGTTCGTGTGCCGACACACCTCCATGCCATGCAACAAGACTGTCAAGCATCTTCTCTCGTTGTCTTCCTCTATCCCTCCTTCCACAGATCTTTCCAGTGGTCACAACATGTTCTATTTTCCCTCTTCTCATAACATGGCTGAAAAATGATGTCTCCTTCTGATGTCAGTGATAAGTTGTCTTCGGGCTCCTGCCTCTTTTAAAACCTCTTGGCTGCTCTTTTTGGCTGTCCAATGTATTCTAAGCATTCTTCTGTAAAACCACATCTCTGAGGCCTCCAAAAATTGTTTGGCCTGCCTACCGATTATCCAGGATTCACATCCATATGTTAAAACTGGATGTATGTAGCAAGCAAGAATTCTTTTTATAACTCTCAATGACAAGGATATATTGCACAAGATGTTTTTCATTTTATAAAATGCAGTTTTTGCCTGTCCAATTCTGTTTCTTTTTTCAGTTATGCATCTTCCATCTGATGTTATCCATGTGCCTAGATACTTAAATTTCTGTACTTGTCTTAAAATAACACCATTGACTTTTATTACACACTAGCTGTACCCGGCCACGCGTTGCTGTGGCATAGTTTGGCTAAATGGAAATGAAAGAAAATAGAAATCGCACGTGTCTAATACAATCATCGTCTGCCCAGATAAGAAATAGTCTTTGATCTCCACCCCACCCCCACCCACAACTAAATCCTACTACCCTCTCCCTCATCAAAGGTTTTTGGAAAAGAAAGACAATGGAAATCGCACCTGTCTAATATAGGTAATGTCGCAATCATTCTCTGCACATTTATATAGAGATAGTCTGGTTTTCCAACTTTAGAACACGCACCATATAATTGTGTCTTTATATTAGTGGTCGTCTAAATGGTGCTATTAGCACGGTAACAAAAGTGGTTATTTGGTTATCTCATGCTAAAGCTGTTTGTATTTTTATAGGAGACGGAAGTAAAGCTACAACTGTACTTGTAAATAACAAAGTAAGTCGTACAAAATAGAAAAGCGGAGGTAGCGTTAGTAAAATATAAACAAATTAGGTAATGAGAACTTGAAAATCAAGTGTAAAGCTCTTTAGGTTCTCTTAAATTTAAGTCATTACCCCCCTCCCCTCTTCCATCGACTACTGCTCTCTCCCTCTTTGAAATATTTGAAAATCATTACCTGGCGATATTTTGTTGTTGCTGTAACTGACATTGACATCCCTGTCCATCTGGACTAAAATGGGGAGCAGGAATTGTAATAGGTAGTGAATGTGGCTAGTGTAATATGTACCATATCATCCTTCAAGTACCAGTACAACTACTAAAATAATGTCACTGCTATCTGTGCTGTGTTACCATCGGAGTAGACAGAGAGTCGTGAGCCAGAAGATTTGGTTCCGCATGGCTAGTGCTGTCGCCACAGACTGGTCAGGTTAGGATGTATAATTTCACTTGCCGACAGAAGAACGCCATAACCTTACCGGCGGTCTTCACATGAGAGTGTAACAGCCCAACCACAACTATTACTGCTGCTGCTACTTTAAGTGGGTAAAGCAGTTACTGTGACTTAAAGCTCTCTCAGTAAATAGTTTGCCCCCCCCCCCCCCCCCAATTCACCGACAACTCTTTCTCTCATTGAAGTAGTTGGGAGGAAAAAAAAAACACACTTGAAAAGCAAATGAACACAGGAAAAAAAACACCATAATTAGGAAATGAACGCCATGGTAAACAGCACAGCTTAAAATTCCAACGCAGATGAAATAACTAAATCTAAATGAAAATAAATGAAAATCTATAAAATTTCAGCGTAACCATGCAATCGGAAAGTTTTAAAATGCAATCATAAGTATGCGAAATGGTCAAATTTAATTATCAAATGGTTTACCCATTTACTTGTCTTTTTTTTTTTTTTTAATATTAAGGCAACATGGCTAGTGCTGTCACCATGACAGAGCAGATGAGGATATTATTTTAGTCCGGGGTTAAAAAAAAATATTAACTACTGCGGATTCGAACCCAGGTCTCCCGAACAGGAACCCAGTGTTCTAACCATTCGACCAAGCAGCCAATTAATTGGATAAACGTAAAGAGAACTCAACTATTAGAGATATGTGTCCCTACTACTGAGTCCTGATTAAAACACAATTTAAAACCGCATGCAATTGTTTTCTCGTAGACAGATTCTCCAGATATATTAATGAAACGGCACAACAATAGAAATCGCACGTGTCTAACACGGTTAATGAAGTTAATGTCGCAGTCAATGTCTGCGCCGACGTCGAGACAGTCCTTGATTGCCCCCCCCCCCCCCCATCGAAGGTTGTTTGAAAAAAAAAAGAAAATAGAAATTGTGTTTAATATGGTTATTGTGGCAAATATAGAGATAGTCTTGTTTAATGTACCACGTCCTAGAGAAGGCGTTGGCTGCACGTAACTCGCCGGCAAATAGCGGAAGCCTTGCGTTCTGACTACGGCGGCGCATGCGCAATTACTAACGTGGCTATAATTATAAATCACTAAAGTTATAAATATTAGTTTCGAATACTATGGCTTAATATGTGGTCACCTATCTCTAACAGCGACAGGTTGAATTTCAAACCACGATGGTTCAAAATCCGGTATCAAAACAAACATATCCTGAAAATTTCAGCTAAATCCGTTCAGTAGTTTCCGAGTCTATAGGGAGCAAACAAACACACAAACATTGATTTTTATATATATAGATTAAGGAATAATTTGTTTCTTTGATACCACCATTACTTCTGTCTTCCCATTATTCAAACTGAGGCCCATTCTTCCACTTTCTAACACCACAATGTCTATCATTTCCTGTAATTCTTTCTGACTTGTTGCTATCAAGACTGTGTCATCAGCATAACGTAAATTGTTTATATTGTGCCCACCAACCACGATTCCGGGCATATCAATTAAAGATCTCATAATATATTCACTGTATATTGAAAACAAATCAGGTGAAAGTACACATCCTTGTCGTACGCGCCTCTTTATGCTTTAAAATGTACCTAAACAGTTGTTAATTCTTATAGCTGCTGTTTGCTGCCAATACATATTCTTTATTATTCTTAGATCTTTCCCATCAATGTTTAATGTTTCTAACAGTTTGATTACTACTTCATGCTTCACACAATCAAATGCTTTTGTATAGTCTATGAAGCATAAGTACAAATCAGTCTTTACTTCTATAGCTCTTTCTGACAATGTCCTTAGGATGTATATGGCATTGTTGGTACCTTTTCCTTCTACAAATTCACATTGTTCATCGCTGACTTCTGGTTTAATTTTGTTTCTTATTCTTCTCATAATTATTCTCAGTTTAGAGGTATTTAGGAATAGCTAATCCCAAGAAGGTATGTAAACCCTGTTTGTATTGTATTCAGAAAGTGAACATATTTGAGTGGTTTCTTATTTTTCACAACCTGAACGTAATCTTAGCCTAATCACCTATTTACTGATGAAATTTTCCAATGAAGAATTCAGCTGTAGCACTATCATGAATGATGTCTATATTAGACATATTAATACCGTGAAGTCATTATGTTTGGGCTATTTTCCCTGTTATATTCCCTGTTATGTCTGATAGTTTCAGTCTTTGCTTGAGTGTACTATTACCTCTGTATTTTACTTGTACACTCTTTCTTTATTCTTCCCCTCGAGGGCATGTTTAACTTTGTCATTTCTTGCTGTTCTTCTTCACATTCACCTGCTGTGAACTCTGGCAGAAAGTTCCAGTTGTTCATTCACTTCTGGACTCTAGTCCTGTTCCAGAACTTGAGTTTTGCATGCACATCTGTTTTACAGGTCTAGCTTATTTGGTAACAGACTGTTGGTTGCTTGCCCCTTAGGCAGATGCAGTGGGTACTAAATGATGACAAGCATGTATAGAAACTGTTGCAAGGCAAAGAAATAAGATATACTTGTCCACTTCTGCTGGTTGTGTTGAGCATGGAGACACTCAGATGTCTAAGATATACCAGTCAACTCCTGCTGGTTGCTTTGAGCATGGAGACACTCAGATGTCTAAGATATACCAGTCAACTCCTGCTGGTTGCTTTGAGCATGGAGACACTCAGATGTCTAAGATATACCAGTCAACTCCTGCTGGTTGCTTTGATCATGGAGACACTCAGATGGCTAAGATATACCAGTCAACTCCTGCTGGTTGTGTTGATAATGGAGACACTAAGATATACCAGTCAACTCCTGCTGGTTGTGTTGATCATGGGGACACTAAGATATACCAGTCAACTCCTGCTGGTTGTGTTGATAATGGAGACACTAAGATATACCAGCTAACTCCTGCTGGTTGTGTTGATCATGGAGACACTAAGATATACCAGTTAACTCCTGCTGGTTGAGTTGATCATT